GGTGACTTAGAAATAGATTTTACGATTTCAATTGTTTTTCTTTTCATTATTACCTGTTAGCGATTTATTTTTTCCAATCAATTCTCAGGTAAATTCATTCATCTAACACTGAATCTCAGGTATAACCGGTTCTCTAATCATGAATTTTAATCAACTCAAAAAGCAACACTTTTCCGGCAACAAAGTTTTGTTTATCTATTATCATTAGATTATTATCACTACTTATTTACCTGTTCAGGTAAAAGTTTTACCTGTAACCTCAAACCTGGAAAATGAAAAGTTTCACCTTGTTGCTTTTTCTACTTGAGATTTTTTTCCTCTCTCTTGGCTTAAGAAAATAAGAGACAAATTTGATTACCAGTGACAGGTAAAAAGAGATCATGGTTATTCATTGGGATGATCATGATGATTATTCAGTGTAATCATCATGAAGATTATATATGATGAAGGTAGTTGATTGAAACATATCATTGAGTGTGGTTACTTTTCATTCTGAATTTTTACTTGATCATCAATAACAAAATTTAGGAAGACATTGCATCTGTTTATGAGGAAGAAGTTTCAATCATGATGATAATGTTTATCATCTTTACCTTCATCCTTATTCTTGACCAAAGGTGGAAAAGCAGAGTAGGAAATGTTTTCTCTGACATTGAATTACCCTCAGGGTAAAATTAAATGTTGATTAACCTTTAGCTTAATTTTTTCTCTCTCTCTTCTTCCAAATCTTCAATTGGTATTAGTATCTGGTTTTCTTGATTGTGACCTTCAAGCAACAATTTACCAGTTTTTCTCATTTAATTTGATTAAATTTCAATCATTAGATTAACAGATTAGTATTGATTTTTTGAAATATCAATTATCATTGATTAGTTGATTTAATTTGTTTCATCGTTACAATCATTTTATTACTATTCTTACATTATTTTTATTATCATCTTTTGGTCAACAGTTTAGTGTTTCTCTTGATATAATCAACTTGATTATCTGAATGAATTTAGTTAATCTTTCGTATTTCTTATATTATTATAATATAATCAATGGACACTAATTACAAGTGATTAACTGATCAATTCTGAAAAGAAACAGTAATAAAATCAATTATAAATTAGGCCAAAATCAGTAGGAAAAAGTATCAACCTTTTTCTGAATATTATCATTTCTCTAATTTTTATTATATCATTTTCATATTTTGATTGTTGGTCAGTTGATTAGTTGATTAGTTGTTTAACTGTTATGTTTATGTTGTTGCTGTTGTTACAATTAAACTAATCAACGTTGACCACAATCAAGACAATCAACCTTGAGAAATAGTTTTTTTTTTCATTCACTTTCATTTTCAATTGTTGATCTGGTTCATTGTTTCCAGTTGCTCCTTTTTTTATATAAATCAAATTAAATTGAATCAGGTTTGGTCAGTAATCAATGGCTACTCTTTCATTATGTCCAATGATTTGGCACAAGGTCTACTGACCACTACGACTACTGATTGAGAAGTTAAACTAACTGCACTTAATTACTATTATCTCAATTTAATTGTTGACCACCATTATTATTATCGAAAAATAATTAAAACCTTATTCATTGTAATATTTTCTTAATTGTTGATATTGGTATTATAAACTAATAATGAAACCAGGATTATAATTTCATTTAGGTTTCAGATTAAATCATCATTGATCTAGTTGGTGATTTCTTGTTTAATTGTTCATCTTATTTATCTATTGATTAACTGGTAAATTGTTAATTTGTTTCTAATCAATCAGCCTTTACGTTGAACTATGGGTTTGGCTCAACTTAGCCAATCGTTTATGATGATTGGTGGGATTAGATGATGATTAGGATGAGGATGATGATGAAGATGAAGATGAAGATGATGAAGATGATGAAGATGATGAAGATGATAAAAAGGATCTTGCTGAGTTATAATTTATTAGGCTCGTGCTAGTGATCCAAGGGATACCTTTGATTATCTCGCTGATATTGATTGTAATTATTTTTTTCCATTTGATATTCATTCACAATTAAGCCGATCATCATTTGAATTGACTTTTAATTATCATTATTAATTGATTGTTTTTGGCATGTTAACCAATTGCTGATCAGTACAATTATGTTTGATTTTAGTCAAACTACTTTGATTACCTTAATTGTTGAGATTTAACCTTGTTGATGATTTATTTATCTTGATAGAAACCGTGACTTAATTTAATGGTCAACGTGGTTAACTAATAGGGCTACTCTTTGATAGCAACAATTAACATTTGATCCTCTAATGGACTTTAATTATTGAGTCAAAAATTTTTCTTTTAATCTAATTGTAATTGTTAAAGTAATCGTTAATATCTGATAACATTATTATTAACATCTTGTTGATTCAATTGCGGAAGCAATTACAATTTAACTGTTAACCAATTGCTTTCACTATCATCATCAAATCTGATTTACTTTTTTTTCTGATCATCATGATTATTTTAACTGTTAACTGATTGTAAATCTTTTAAAAATAAACTGAGAATAGTAATTTAATATTGTAAAATAATAGTCAACTAATTTTTACCCACTCGATGATTAACTTTAATTGTAAGAAAATTTTATCAACTCAACAATTTGAATGTGAAATAATGGTAACAATTAGAACTTTAATTTGTTACCACTCCAAATAATCAAATCATGTAGCTAATCAAAAGGTCTACATCCAATCATCATCTTAATAAACCGATTTCCATATCAATCACACCTTAATTTTTTTTCCTATTAATTAATTAATCTTTTCCTTAATTAAACGAATTCATTATTCAATCAAGTAGCTCAGTTAAAATCTGAACTTTTTCTGTAACAATTAGTACTTGTTGATCAACTTCGTGATCAAATTTGGCTCAATAATTAACGCAGAAATGAAATTAATTCAACTAATTAGATCAAGAAAATGTTGACCTGAGATTCATTGTCCACTACTCTTTGGTCATCTCTCTCTCTCTCTCTCTCTCTCTCTCTCTCTCTCTCTTGATTACTAATATTGAATTGGTATTAAGACTAAATTTAGATTCAATTGATTAGGTAAAAAAAGGTAAAATGAAAAAATGAATCTTTAATTATCCAATCAGATTAACATGTTTATCGTGATGATAATGATAACATCTAATGAACTGGATCTAATATGAATGCTGAACTTTTTTTGGTTAATATTCAATTAAAATTCATGGTTGATATTGAATTAGGTCGGTTAGGAATATTATCATCATCTTGCCAATAATACTGATGATTTGATGAGTTATAAGATGATGAGAATGATAAATATGATACCGGATCCGTTGAGTCCCGTTTCTGATGAATGGGCGGATTAGCCTTGAAAGAGGAATGATGAATCTTTTTCCCGAAGTGACTTATTTGCTGATGAATGGATTTTTCTTTCTTCATCTTCATCAACCATCCTTAGTGCAAGATGATGCGGAAAATGTTATCATCATTATAAAGTTGATTGTTTTACTTAATATATTGTCAAATCCTTGACGGATGTTAACATTATCAACACTAAATGTTGACCTCAAATTAAGTGAAAACTCATCAAGAGAGGAAGATGCAGACTCAGTTTCATGTTAAACGATATTTTTGGGTGGTTGTTTTTTATCATGTTACCAATAAGATTAACACCAACATGTGAATAATAACAAGCGGTCACCAAAAAAAAAGTTCATGGTCAATATGGTTGAAGATTAATCTTACAAAGTGTTTCTCTCACTACAGTCACTGAACATTTAGTGTATATTATTGTAGTTGATAAGTTTCAGGTTAATTCATTTCCGATTCCATGAGATTGGAACAGAACTTTTTTTTTCTGTTCTAAACGGTTGATGACACTTCCGAGTGGTGAAGATGACGATCAATTGATTCGTATTTTTTTTCATCTTCATCAAATGTCGTCCAAGCTCTTGTTTTAATGTCGATCTATCGTTTTCTTGTTCTCATCTTGTCTTTATTTTTTATACTTTCATCTACATCCTCCTTTCCTCTCTCATTCTCTCTCATCAGCTGTAGCTTACCTGTCTAATGAAATGATCGGTTCAATGAGGATAACAATAAAAACGAAATTAAGTCAAGTAGAGAGAGAGAGAGAGAGAGAGATCTTCTCAGAGCTTTATGTTTACTATCACGTTTTATTTATCATGTTGTATTCCTCATCCTTATGATATTATCTTGGTCCTTGACCATTGGTCATTTTCACTCCAATGAGTAGTTTTATTAATATTCCTGATGGTATGAGGTATCGGTTTTGCCGATACTATTTCCAGCCCCATGATTATTCAGTAATTGGTGAATGAAAAAAAGTTCATGTTAATTGAGTTAAGATTGAATAGACAAAATTTTCTGTATCATTAAACTTTTACATTATTAGTTTAATTCATTTAACTAACTAACTGTTTAAATCAACGGTAGTTAGCTAAATAAATTTTTAAACTTAAATGGTAGAAGAACAATTAACAAAAGTTAACAAATTGGTTAACTAATTAAGTTTAAATTGTTGATAATGATGATGTACATGTATTTGAAGGTGTAACATTTAAACAATATAATCAACAGACTGGAAAACAAAAAGTTAAATACATTTAACTAACAATCAAAATGTCCAGTAAATGATTAGGCTAATTGTACAATCATTTTGTGTATACAACATTGTTTACTATTAATCTTACAATTAAATTAATTGTTTACCTTTTGTTTTGTCTTCTATACCAAATGAACCTCTAAACCTTTGCCAGTGAATTTAAATCAACTACATTTAACAATCAACTCGATCGTATCAAATGTTATCAATCAGATGATGAGGGAAGTGCATTACCTGTTGATGATGATGTTTTTTTTTGTCGTATTTTAATTGATGTTATGATTACTGCTTCTGTTACTGGAAATTGTTGTTACCTTGATTTTTTTTCTCTGCAATTGCATCTGATTAATTATCCTTCAAAATTTATTAATTGTCTTATCTTTAATCCTTATAGAGCTCAATCTTATCCAGTCACATTACCCAAAACACTTACCTGCCGTGGGTGTACCATTAGATTATTAAGACAAGCCAGTGAATGGGGAGATAAATATACTTTCTGGAGCTGTGCTGATGTAGATATCATACCTGGTGAGTTAATGTTGATACTTATCTTCATCATCAATCCGATCAACTGTATTTTCTTGCTTCATCTCAATCCGATTCAATGATGAACATTTTACCTCCTCATCCTCTTCATTTTCCCTTGGTGTGGAAACATTTCTCTCTCTCTCTCTCTCTCTCTTACCTGTTATTTCATTGAACTTTGGCTTTAACTTGGATTTTCATCATCTGAGATACTTAAGAGTTAGAGTGATATAAAAAATACAGATCAGATTAATTAGAGGTTACAATTTAGATGCCAACATTTGATGATGATTTACTGAGTGTGTTGTTGATTAAAGTTTCTTTCTGTTTAATCCTAATTAAGTTGATCAAAGATCTTAATAATCCTTTGTAACTCTTAGCGTCTAATACATGAATGGATATTATACTTAATTGTTGATGACTATGATTATAATGATAAGGAAAATTGTTGTCAGTGATTAGTTGAACTTCAATTGTTGAAAATTTCGAGTTATTTTTGCCAATGCTAAACCAATGACATTGAGCTATTGTCCAACTAGCTGAAAAAAAAACTGACCAATCATTAAATTAAGATGTAATAATCAAGAAGTAAATCACACAACAATTTTCTGTTAATCACAATCATTCAAGCACAATTTAATTGCAACAATAATCAATACCAAGGTTAGAGTCAAACAAAATGTTAAAAAAAACTTTACCTGTTGATGATTAAATATGAGAAATAAAAAATAATCAATCAAATTGTTATGATTAATATGATAATAAAAAAAAAGTACCAGTAGTTAGGAGATATGGTTGCTTAATTAAATTGTCACAATCAGTGTTAATATTTATCTATTAATCAATAATCAGAGAAAAAGTTTACATCATTAAGTGGTAACAATTAGAATGGAAATGGAAATGGAAATCTTAATTGATCAAATTGAATTTTCTTCAAATCTTTTGTTAATTGTGTAGAAAACTATGAAAATTTGTTTAATTATCATCATCGTTGAACAAACAATTAGTTAACAATGAAAAGTTGCCCATCGTTGACAATTACAATTCCAATTCTATGGTTGTTAATCATCATTATTATTGACCCTGACACTTCCTAATGATCAATGAAATAAATTAATTGTTTCCTTGATTACTTTTCTTGATTGTCATCTTTCCAATCATAATCATCATTTAAACAATTACCTTGATCTTTTTCCTATTGATTGTTGATTTGTTTTTTCTCCATCCTTAATTGTTAAGAAAAAGGAAACATGGTTAACTAATATAACGATGTTTCTTTTCAAACAATTAACATTGTTTCATTAACAATCCACACCAATCAAATGAGAAAACTGTTAATCTAATCATTTAACCTTAATTGTGATTTCTTTTTTTAATTGTTTCTACAGTTACATCAATCATAACGAGTAAGAATGCCGTTTGTTCAGGCAATGGGAAATTCAATATAACCGATGGTAAATGCCATTGTAATCGATTCTATTCTGGAATTGTGTGCCAATTTTTAGGTAATTAACTAATCACAATTAACTATTTTTTAACCTTTTCCATCAATTTAAGATCATATTATAATTACAATCTGTTAATCAATCTGAAAATGAAGGTAAGTTTAAGGTTGAATCTATGAAGATGATGATGATCATGATGATGATTGTTTTCATTAGTTAAGTTTGAGTAATTAGGAAATTGATTTGATTTTGTTGAATCTAATTAAAATTTGTTATTTAGTTAATTTAATTCAAATTGAAATTAACATTTATAAAGATGATTATGTTGATTTTTTACTCGTTCTGATTATCCTTTGATCCGTTGATTAAGAAAAACAATCAACAAAAGCAAAACTTTTATGCTAATCAGTTGTACTTAAGTTAATTGCTGATTAACTGGCATGTTTTGTGATTAATGTTAATCTTATAAACTAATTTTTTGTTTCTTCATTAATAATTAAATGAATGTCATCATTGGTGGTTTAATCAATCATCCAAATACAAATATAAAACTGTTAGAATTGAGAATCAAATTTACCTAATTTACTAATTGTTTAACTCATCATCTCTCAATCATAATTGTTGAGTATTTGTTATTAAGCTCAGAAAGTACATCATGGTTACGATTAGTTAATCACCATAATTAAGTTAATCAAATGCAAAAAGCTAAATTGTTAGAGATTACAAATGTTGAATTGTATTTGATTCAATAAAATCAATTTCAAAGTTAATCATTGAATTAGTGTTTCTCCTTGTAACTATTATAATATCACCTCAATTTACAATTAATTAAATTTAACCATCAATTTATCTTGAATTATCGTTGATTTGATCATTCAAATTGCTATGATTTAAATTACACCTAAATTTTGAAGGTTAATAAATGTATTTGATCAAGAATATTTCAATCACAGTTCTGTAATAACAATAGTAATGAAGGTGCATCCGGCTGGTCAGTTTAACCTTCATATGTATGATGAAGGTAATAATAGTAATGGTCATTTTGTTACCTGGTTCATACAGTTTTACTTATTATTATCATCTTCATGTAGGTGGTCAGCAGTTTACTTGGGATGATGATGATGATGATGATGATGAAAGAAAGGTAAGTAAAAGGAATCCACCAATGACCAGAATCAAAGTGATATTTCATGTTCTGATTGCGATTCCATTGTCCAGTTGACTGAAAGAAACCATTCACTTATCATCATCATCATCATCATTTCACTTTCTCTTTAACTTTCTTTTCATCATCTATGTCCTTTCTTTACTTTATCATCTTCATCATCCTCCTCCTCCTCATCAGCATCATTATCGTGAATCAGTTGAAATTCATGATAATGGATTTTTTTGTTTGCTTTCAGAAAGTTCAACTTTTACATTCATCTCTCATTGTTATTAACGGATTATAATGATTAACTTAATTCCCATAGTAAATTATGATACGATTGTTATTCAATCAGTTTAATTGTTTAACTTTTTTCATTTACAGATGAATGTTGGACTGACGATGATTGTGGTAATCATGGTAAATGTATTCGGATCAATACAACTTATCCTACTAGACAATGTTATTGTAAAGTTGGTTGGTTTGGTGAAAAATGTTCAAAAGGTTTGTACAATTAACTAATTGTTCACAATCAACTATAGTTATCTTATTGGTTTGGATTCAATTTTCGTTGATAATTCATGTAATTAGCTTAGAAACGCTTTTTAAATTGTTGGTTAACTGTTACAATTTAGTCTGATTAGAAAAATTTTTTCACTACTTTTGTCACTCAGCAATTAACGATTATGATTTAATTTTGAGTGATTAGAAAATATTAGTTTCTTAATCAACCTTGATTTAGTTATTAAAGTGTTTTCTAAATGTTATAATATAATTGCTTTAGTATTTCTGTTAGTTGATTGTTCAAACTTTCGCAATTTATTTCTTAATTGTAAGTTAATCATAATTTTTGTTATTCTTTTTTTTCCTCAACATTTAATTGCTCAAGTTAATTGTTCAAGTTCAGTAGTTAATCATCACTTGTCTGCAGAATCAGTTTGATTGTTTTTTTTTATACTTCGGCTTAGCTTATAATTAGCGATTTATGATCTCAAATCTTAATCAACTTCTAATAATAACAATTAATCATTTCCTTCCTGATTAATTGTAATCTTTTCTCCAGATTAAATAATTCAAATTGTTCCCAATGAAAAGAAAACTTTTCTGAAACTGAATTAATAAACTAAACTAATTGAAATTTCCTAAAATCAATTAACTATGGGAACTCTGTTGATTATTGAGAAAACAAGTGAAACAATCAAATTAAATCATGATGATACAAATTGTCTTACAAATGAGTTAAACTAAAGGCTTAAAGCGATTCCCAGACAATTAAACTCTAATTTTATTAGAATATAATTAACCATTAACGTTGATTATTATCAGTAAATTTGATTGTTCAACGTAACGTAATTATCATCGAGAAATTATTAATCTTTCATTGTTTAATTTGGTTAAAACCGTAGTAAATTAAATTAGTAGTGGTAAATGATTAAGATGAAAAAAATTTGATTACAATTATATTGACATTTTGAAAATTAATTAGCTCAATCTTGTAAATTTGTTTCTACAATTTAATTGTCCAGGTCAAATTGAAATTAGTTTAAGATGAAGTTTAATTTGTTAATTCATCTCTCTTTGATTATCAGTATTGTTTAATATTATTAATAAATAATTTGTTAATTGTCAATAAAATTGGTCAAATTGTTGTGGTTATTTCATTCAAATAGCTTCCGCTTTTACTTAATATCAACTTCAAGTTAATTAGATTTGTCTCAACAAGAATAACAATTAAAATCTAATGAAGTTTTCTCGCAACAATTAAGTTAATTTTATTTTCTAAGCTTTGTTGATCTTGATTGTTCTGAGTGAGAAGGTCTTGTCTTCATTAATTGTTGTTTCAATCTTTTAACCGAGTTAACGATTAAATCGTAATCAAAATTATACTTTCACTTTGTTTACCGTTATTTTAATCATTTATTTCATTTTTGATTCGTTTTCTTTGACAATCTTTAGAATCGACAATCAAATCAACTGAAGTTGATTTAAAGAATCATTTTCATCGACAATTAACCCAAGGTTATGATCTTTATTGGAGGATAATTAAAGAGTCGGAAGAAATTGAAATTGTTCTTAAAGTTCTGGGCAATGGTTATGCTTCAGTTGGATGGAGACCTCAGGATATCTCTTCGTCTTGTAAAGCTTTTCCTTACATCATTGATACAAATGTTCCTGTGGTCAATATTGACCCTAGAAATTCATTACCACCTTCAGCTAATTCAGCTAATTATGAGACTCGACGTGCTGATAATTTACCTAATGAATCGGCTCCAACTTTCAAGAAAATTAAAGTTTCTTCCCCGGGAATGTTGAATTCTGGAACCAGAATTTTACCTGATGGTAGATTAACTAATTCTAGTGGGTCAAGGCAACCGAAAAGCTCTGACAATATTTTGGGAACTGTTTCATCAATATCAACGACTTCAACTGGACATGCTGTACCTGAATCTGCTGTTACAGTCTCTACATCTGAGCCAAGTTCAAGCTCTGCGTCAAGTGAACCTGAGCCTGTACCAGAGGCGGAAGCATCTCCAGAACCGAAATCTGTCCCTTCCGATGATTCATCTAATCTCAAATCTGAAACCGAGCCAGAATCCAAGGTAGAGCCTAAATCTGAGCCAGAAATCGCATCTACTAGCAAACCTGAGCCTTCTTCAGAACCAGAACCTAAAAACGAACCTGAACCCTCATCCATTGCCGTTGAATCTCAAACAGTACCTTCGTTTGCAGAACCAGAGGTTAAACCAACAGAAAGAGACGCCAAGTCAATTGAATCTATACCCGAACCAGAATCTGAAGTGAAACCCACTGTTGAACCCGCAACTAGTGAAGTTGAACCAGTCAAGATTGAAGCGAAACCAGAATCTGAACCGATCGATGAACCAGCACCAGAGGCAGAGCCTAAAGTTAAACCAGAACCGGAACCAGAATCAGAACCTAAAGGTGATAAATCTGACAGTGTTTCCGTTAAACCTGAAGAAGAACCCAAACCAGAGACAAGTTCATCAACTGACAAATCTCAATTCCATCCTGGTAGTTTCGCACCAGTAGACCTCGATTCACCAATAAGAATTCGTAGTAAACGACAATCCGACTCCGATGTGAGTGTTGGCTCATTCGCGAATGTCGGTGCTGCTCCAGCAAGTAAAAGACGAGCTACCGATGGTTGGACAAAATCAGATTATCCTCCAGTTACTGATTATACACCTAAATTTGATTTCCACCCAATGGATTGTAATGATATTGTTATCGGTTCAGCGATTGGTGAATATGGTCGAGTTTTGGACTATTATACTCGAGATCGATCCACACCTCGAGTTGACTCCTTGTTCGGTGGGAAAAATGATCTTACCGGTGCAACGGCTTTTGAATCTGATGGATTGACAACAATAATTTTCCGTAAAAAATTGATTGCTGATGAATTGACAGATCATAGCATTTTAAACAAAACAATGGACGTTATTTGGGCCAAAGGTCAAGAGCACAAGAAATATGTCCACTCACCGCCCTCTGGTCTTGAAGAGGGTAAGGCCAAAAATCCAAACTTTTATGGTTCCGATGAGATTAAATACCATGGACATGGAGGTCAACGAGGTAAATTACAGATCAACTTTTACGAAGAGCCCATGGTCAATGTTACACCAAAATCGGCTGTAATTCTCAACAGTACCGATAGTGAAAATAGTACCATAGATGTTAATGGTACATCGATTGAATCGTTACCTTGTAATGGTGAATATCGTTACCCAAAAGATTGTAAAAGTCGAAAGTGTGACTACATTTTTACCTGGAAGTACAATGAAGACTTTGATGGGATTGATTTTGGTGTTTCTGCTAAGCGAATCGATAAATGGACTGGAATTGGTTTCTCGAAAAATAAATTAATGCCCAATACTGATGTGGTTATCGCTTGGGTTGAACCTGGTGGACGTTATCTAATGATGGACGCTTGGATTGATGGCTACTCTCAACCTAAACCTGATACTCGTCAATCTATTTTCAATATTTCCGCTTTAAATGAAAATGGCCTGATCACTTTTAAATTTTCACGAAAAATTAACACACTTGATACACGACACGATCTCTCATTAAATGATTGTGTTCACTTTGTTTATCCAGTTTCTGGTGGACCTGTTGATTCATCAAGGAAAAATATTCGTAAACATTTACAAGCCCCATTAATTAGCGATTCTAACATTTGTTTCGGTAAATGTCGACCTGCTGAATCTACACCTGAACCGGTAAGAAGATCAATTAACTATCATTACGATTAACTGTAATCTCGATATCTTTTATTAGTGTTGACCGATCGGTTGCTCGGAAAACTTAAAAGTGATACTTTGATCGATTACCTCTAATAAATTTCTTGCGAGATTTGTTTTTTTTTTGTTTTCTTGATTAATCATTCCAACAATTAAGAACAATTTAAAGTTATCTCGATACAATTAATCGTTTTTGTTTTCGTTGTAATTTGGATACTTTCCCTTTTCTTGAAAAGTTTCTTCCGTTTCCTTGAAAATTTTTGTTTATAAACAAACATTTGAGTTGAATGATGATCATTATTCGTTTTGATTGATACAATTCTAATTGGTGTTTAATTATTTTAATCATTTGTTTTTTGTCTTATTTCAGAATGTTAACAAGCCAATCGTCAAACCAGAGCCTGGTGTCTCCTCTAAACCTGAGCCATCACCAGAGCCTAAGCCTGAACCTAAGCCAGAGTCTGAGCCTACTAAACCTAAACCGGAACCCGAATCACCGGTATCAGAACCTGATCCAAAGGCTGAACCGAAACCTGAGCCTGAATTGAAAGCCGATTCTAAACCTGAACCTTCTGCTGAACCAAAGCCTGAACCAGAAGCTGAACCTGAAAATAAGATTGACACTCGTTATGGAACCGTTTGTTCAGGTGAATGGAAATATCCTTCCAACTGTACTGGTTATAGTTGTGATTATCAAATTTCTTGGGAATACATGGATGACAATGATGATATCATGTTTAACCTGCAAACTAAAAACACAAACCGATGGACTGGAATCGGTTTTTCCAATAACAAACTTATGCCTCAAACTGATGTGATCCTTGGTCTAGTCGAGGAATCAGGTCGATTTTTCCTGATGGACACTTGGCTAAATGACTACAATACTCCTCCATTGGATAAGAAGCAAGATATTCATAATTCCTCTGCTTGGCGTGAAAATGGAATAACTCACCTTAAATTCCACCGATATCGAAAGACCAACGATCCCAAAGATTTTGAGTTCAGTGACAATGCTTGTCCATACTTTGTGTTCCCAATTCGTGGTGGTGTTTTCAATGCAGTTAATAAGCGTATCCGAAAACATGAAGCAGTTCCTATCATTTCTGAGGATCGAGTTTGTGTCAAATCTTGTAAACCCAAACTTCCTTCATCTCCTCCTCCACCTCCACCACCTCCTTCTCCTATTCCCGTTTCTTCATCACCCAAACCAGAACCTGAACCTGAAGCAGAAGCCAAACCAGAGCCCAAGCCACCCCTTATCGAAACGGAACCAAAACCAGAGGTGTCGCAGTCTGAGAAACCCGTTGAATCTAAACCACCACAAGTTGAAAAGACAACTCAACCAGCTGAATCAAGTTCACCTCTTCCCTCTTCATCCACCACCAGCACTACGACCAGTGCTCCTCCAGATCAATCTTTTACTACAATAAAATCGACTGACAATGAAATAGCCGATGAGACGATGGTTGTTCTTGAAATTAAGATGCCAAATGCGTGGAAATCATCTCTTGGTCAGAGAAATTCAGCCGATTATAGAAAGCTAATGACAAAATTGGAAGACCAATTGGAAAAAGAATTGGTCGACAATGGTCAAGTACCTAAACAGATCGAAGTTACCGATATTTCTGGTGTCGGTGAAAACGGTGTCCTTGCTACTGTTAAAGTAGAAATTGCCAATACTACCGAATCAAGAGCTCGATCTGATAAACCAATTGTTAGCATTCGAGAAGCTCTCAACGAGACAATTAAAGACGGAAAAGTTGGTAACCTAATCGTTGATCCATCTTATCTAATTTTCAAATCTCCAGGTAATAATTTATTCAATTTTCATTCTAATCAAACTTTATCCTCAAAAAGCACCATTATTAGTAGTCTTTAGGAAGAATGTCACCTTCTTCCTAAAGGAGGAGCCTTGGTGCTAAATTAAATCAATTGTGATTAGTTTCCCTGTTGACTTTTAACAACTAAATGTTATTTCAATCAACTAATTGTATTTACATTTCCTTATTTACCTTATTCTAGATATTATCGATGTCTCCAATGAATCAAATGATACAAAGAAGGCTGGTCTCAGCTCGGAACAATTAACTTACCTTGCCATAATTGTCGGTCTTTCTAGCTTAGTAATTTTGTGTATCTCTCAAGCTTTATGTATGGTTTGGAGGGATAAAAGTAACAAAGAAAAAAAGATGAAGGTAAATGTCGATTTTTGATCTTTCCGATGAACATTGATTCATTTTTTTTCATGAGAGATGAAGTTTATTAATCTCTTTTGTTGATTTCTCTTTCCAGGAAAAGGCAATGGTCAATTCACATTACAAAGATTATTCAGCAACTACAACAAGTAGCGCTTATAGTTATGAAAATTTTGCCGTTCAGGATGATCCCGATGGTGTTGGGTATAAGCCGATGAATGGTGGTAGTGGTATTGGTGGTGGTGGTAAATCAAATGGAAATTTAAAATCTGATTTAGGAAATGGTAAAAAGAAAGGGTCTAAAGGTTCAACCAATGGTCTATCAAATTACAATAGTGCAACCGTTGATCGTAGCGATTCAAAAACAACCTCAACTTTTGGTTATCCAAGTGCCTATGCAACTCATGATCGTAAAGACAACAACACATTCCGTTACATTAGTCAACCACAGCCATTAACACCGGACTTTTATTTTATGCCACATCAGAGACGATACTCTGGTGAGGTTGTCCGAGTCTTTGTCGATTACAATAATCCACAATTTATGCCTAAATAAAAGGGTCTACCTTTCTAATCTTTTCCCTTTTTTTTCATCCCAATTGTTGTATAAATTACTTTATAATTAACCAATTAAGCTGAGCATTCATATTGCTTGCTGGCAATTAATTGAATAAATTATGTTTCCTATCTAAACAAACGATTAATATTGCTAATTTACTCTCGGTAATTTCTCACAATTCAATAGATTTTTTTCGTACGATTGTGAACTGATTAACTTTTTCATTTTCGATTAAATTTCATAATTGCCTCCATTCTAATTGAATTGATACATGAATTCTGCTTAAAGGATTCAATCCAATTGAATTCTCATTCTTCCCAATCAGCTGAAATTGAATCAATTTAATTGATTAATCAGTTAATCTGAATCAGATTACAATTACTTTGTAGTTTAATCTATAACGGATTAATTATCTAATCTACTATTCCACTAATGATTAGTTGAATGTCACATTTAAAGGTCAGTATTATTTACAATTTAACTCATGTTGATTGATCTCAAGCGATTTTTCAATTTGATTGGATTTTTTTCCCAATAGTTTAGTTACAATCCTTTTGTTGGTGTTGATGTTTGTGGCAAAAATTAACTTAATTGAAACCGTTACTCGTTCAACATTCACGTTCGTACATCGCCCGATTACCCGGTCAATTGGATCATTGAATATGGTTAATTTACTCAATTCTAGAGAAGGAGTTTCATCAATATTGAATAATGTTGATACGATAATCACTGATTGTGATGGAGTAATTTGGTTGGAAAAAAAGTCTATCCCAGGAGCCAATAGTTTCTTCAAGAAAATGCGATCAATGGGGAAACGAATAATCTTTGCCACAAATAACAATACGAAATCGCGAGAATCACTTCTCACCAAATTGAATTCACTTGAATTCGAGGCAACAATTGACGAGATAATGGTGACAACTTTTGCTGCTCCGATCGCTTTGAAAAGAATTGATTTCAAAGGGAAAGTGTTTTGTCTTGGAACACCAATTTTACGCAAAGAAATTGAGTCCGCTGGTTTCACGGTGATTCCACCATCATCGGATACCAATGAGAATGTCGAAGATGCTAAATTGGTGAAAATGGATCATATTGATTACGAATTGATAAAAATTGACCCTCAAGTTGGTGCAGTTGTCATTGGAATGGATTATGGTTTGTCCAATGTTAAAATGATTCGAGCTTGTACTTATGTTTCGAAGGTTGATTCTAAGTGTATCATTTGTACCAATACTGATTTCACTTTTCCTGGACCTGGTGGGATAGTTATACCTGGAACTGGTTCCTATGTTGAACTTATCGAACATGTAACTGGTAAGAAAATGTTTTCCGTTGGTAAACCGACAACTTTTTTTTTCGAGTGTATCAAGCAAATACATGCGAACATTGATCCAGCTCGAACTTTAATGATTGGTGATCGATGTGATACCGATATTGCTTTTGGAAACAATAACAAGATGAAATTTACTCTCCTGGTTGGAACTGGAGTTAACAATTTAGATGATGTTAAACAATTTGCTTCCAATGGTGACAATCATCTAATACCAAGCCACTTTATCCAAAGTCTAGGAGATTTAAATAAATATCTTACTCATGATTGATAATCAACAATCAATTAATCAACAATAAAGAAATCAGAAGCTTTGATTTTCATTTATCATCATTTATGTTTACATATAATCATTTTCATTAAAACAATTTCCATTCTTGTCTCCCAATCGGATTAAACTCTGATCTCTATCACCAACCAAATCGTAACTTGGACCAAGTTAATTAGTAAACGAAACACTTTCATTCAAATATTCCGCTCAAAGTTGATTCGCCTCGTGCTCGTTTCCATTGTTATTGTTTCTTCACGTGTTATTATTTTCTTGTTACATTTGTTTATTTTAATTTTCTTTTACAACTAATTAGCAAATTGTTCAATTGTTTTTTTACTAATTTGCTCTGTAAATCAGTTTGATAAAATGTATCTCATGTATTATTTAGATTCTAATGGAAAGCGAGTCTATACTTTGGCTAAATTTGCTCCTGACGGGAAAATGACTCATTCAGCTCATCCAGGTAACATTGTTTTCACTTTTTCTTTGTTTCAATTGTTGTTATTAATTTAATTTTCTTTTATTAATTTGTTATTCTGTTTTTATGTTTAGCTCGTTTCTCACCTGAAGATAAATTTTCCCGAGAAAGAATCACCACCAAAAGGAGATTTGGACTATTAACTGTTAACGAAAATGCTGCTAAAATAACAGCAGCTCATTAAATTGGCTTAATAAAACTCAAAATTTCTTACGTTTCATTCATCGCCAATTGAATAATAACCTTTTCATTAATCTTTTCCATTGTCATTGAAAAATGTGATCTTATTCAAAAAGTGACTATTTTCATGGAGTTGAAGATCAAATTAAAAATCTTTCCACAACAATAATAAACCTCCTTAGGTTGACAACATTCAATTGAGAATTGAGTATTTCTTTGTCTTTCCTCTGAAAAGATCAATCTAACCAATTTCCAGTGAATAACAATTGGAAAACAAAGAATAATTAAAGATGAAATATTAGAATTAAAGAGAATCTAAATTGTTCAATTGTCCCTCTTCTCCCTTCGTAAGAACCATGGTAACCACATGTTCTCCCTGGTTGTCAAAGGCGCGAACGAAGTCATTGTCTTTTTAATCTCTTTTGTTCAATTTCTTATTCTACTGTGATTCTATTTTCTCTCATTTGTGATTAATCAATTGTTCCATCATGGGTATTACTGGTTTAAGTAAGTTAATTGCCGACATTTGTCCATCGGCAATCAAGGAAAGTGAAATGAAATCGTATTTCGGAAGGACAGTGGCCATTGATGCAAGTATGTCTATCTACCAATTTATGATCGCCATTAGAAATCGTGATCAAATGATGAGTAATGAATCTGGAAACACTACCTCTCATCTTATTGGACTATTTTACAGGTAATTTATTGATTGTCGTTACATGTATACACTGATTTAAGTTTAAATTTCATGTTAAGATGATGGATTGTTTACCTTTTTTGTTTCTCTTTAGAACCATCAAGCTTTTGGTAGATGGTATCAAACCAATCTATGTTTTTGATGGAAAAGCACCAGTGATGAAATCAGGTGAACTTGCCAAGAGAATGGAACGTCGAGCTGAAGCTGAGGCCAAACTGAAAGAAGCGAAAGAAGCGGAAAATGTTGAAGAAATTGGCAAATTTAGCAAGAGATTAGTGAGAGTTACCCGTCAACACAATGAAGAATGTAAAAAACTTCTTACTCTTCTTGGTATTCCAATAATTTGTGCCCCGAGTGAAGCTGAGGCTCAATGTGCTCAATTGTGTAAAGAAGGTCTTGTCTTTGGTGTTGCCACTGAAGATATGGATGGTCTAACTTTCGGTACTCCAAGGTTGATTAGGCATCTTAGCTCAGGAAATACCGATAAATGTAAAGAGTTCAACTTGGATCGTATTTTGGAAGGTTTAAATTTAACTTACGATCAATTTGTTGATCTTTGTATCCTCATGGGCTGTGATTATTGTGAAAGTATCAAAGGTATGTTTTGGTTAATACAGATTATCTAATTTTACTGAATATTATTAACTAATGTTTTCATTTTTGGCAGGAATTGGTGGTAAAAAAGGGCTCGATCTTATCAAGGAACATGGTTCAATTGAAGGCATATTGAAAAATAGATTCAATATTACTGAGTTCATAGATCCTGAGATTGAATATAAGGAAAAACTGAGAGATGCTGAAGTAAAGCAAGAAGATGATACTGAAAATGATGGTGAAAATGGTAATCTTGACAACGAAATCAAAGATGAGAAAGAAAATGGAGTAGAAGAAGCTCATGTAAAAGAAGAGGAAAAATTGGACGAAATGGAGATCAAGAAAGAAGAAGGAGATGCTGAAGATATCGTTGGGGAAGAGAAAGATAGTGAAGAAGAGAAAGAAGAACGAGAAGATGATGGCGATGATGACGATGAAGAAAAAGATGTTAAATCAAAAGGAAAAGGTTCGAAAAGAACAAAAAAGAAAAGGTGGAAGTCGAGAATCTGTTCCAGAGGATTGGCTATTCAAAGGAGCTCGAAAGCTCTTCCTCCAGCCGAATGTTTTGGTTAATCATTTCACAGAAAAAGATCTTAAATTTAAAGAGATTGACGAAGAAGGATTGATCGATTTCCTATGTAGAGAAAATGGTTTCAGTGAAGATCGAGTTCGATCTGGAATCAAAAGAGTCAAAGAATCGAAGGGCAAAAGCGCTCAGACCCGAATAGATTCATTCTTCAAAGTTCTTCCAGCTAAATCGCCGGTGAAAAAGGATGAACCCGGTAAAACACCCGGAAAACGAGCAGCACCCGCCGCTAAAAGCTCATCAAACAAGCGAGGGAGAAAACCAAGATAATCTAAAGATCCTAATGATAATTACACGAAAACATAATACACAATTAACCATCTTGTTAATCATTCAATCAGAAATCATCACCAAAGTTAATCAATTTGTTTTGTACTCTCAATCCCCATGGTAATGAACAAAGTTCATTACCATCTCAACCCATCACATAACCTTAATTCATGATCAAATTTAATTACCATCATCAATCATAACTCACTAATTTGTTTTTCGTTCTCTCGTCAATTCTCAATTTCCTCTTAATCACCGTTTCAACGGTAATTGAAAATAAACTTATTTCGATCTTTAATTAAATTAGTTTATTGTTCCGTTTAAAAAATAATAATTTAAAATAATAGATTTTACAAATAAGTATCTTGATCAAATCGCCAAGGATTGTGACAAGAATCTTTAAACCACCAATCAATTAGATCTTCACGTTTACCTCTACAAGAATTACCATTTGTATTCTTAATTGTTGTACAAATTTCACAGAAAATTTCATTGTAATGAGTTGGAATTCTGAGAAAAGCTGAATAATTAGCTTTCCATTGGAAGTAAGAATTGTACCGATCTTCATCAGTAGCAAGTGACCTAAGAAACATCGCAAGATATTTCGGTGAACCAAATTTCCTGGAATCAATGATTGAATTGTTTGGCACTAATTTACCATAATCAGCACCTCCCATTACAATTGGAATTAAATCTTGATTGAGAACTTCGATTACTTTCTCAGTAAAATAATCTTTACAAATTGAATTCTCGAAAGACAGATAATATTTATAATCTTTTCCAATCATTTCCCAGCATTCACGTTCTCGAAAATGACTATAACCTGAGCATCGTAATGTCCCACAATAACCATAGATATCAACTGGTATATAATTAGCCAATTGTCGGACAAACTCATCACGGCCACTTTTAGCCCCACAATTGGAAACCATCCACGCGATCCATTTGGGTTTACTCGAGACGGAAACTTTTTTCACCTCTCGAGGTTTATCTAGTTCCTCATATCGACCATAATCAACCACAAAATCAGAATCTTGTCGATAACTGGCCCAACAATCAATGTGCTCTTTAAATTGTTGCAATAATCGGATCCTTTTAGTATAAGCCGGCGATTCAATATGATGCCAGATCCATGTTTGATTTAAATATTTATTGGGTACATCGGTTGCATCAAATGTCCTCCAATGAAAGACAACAATTGATGCTTGAGGCAATAATGCACGATCACGAGTAATTAAACACCCGCAGGGTAAAATCTGCTCAGTTAATCCACCCCAAGTTGGATCTTCATAATAATCTGTCCAAAGGAGGATAACGGTTAATCCGTTAATTGTTGAAACTGGTTGGTTGACATAAACAACTGGGTGTTCCAATTTAGTTTGATACAATTTAAAATCAACCGTGCGATTTACAATTAAAATTATAAAACACGTTGAGATGAGCAACACAACAAATAATCTCGATAATCTGGTTAATTTAAATGAAAAGGGTTGAATTAACATGACAATTAATTCAACTACAAACCAATCAATTTATTATTAGATTTTTCAGCATAAGAAATAAATCACAGTAATACAATTAATTATTCACTTTCTATTAGTTTCAAATGCTCACATCGGTTAATCAGTAGTTAAGGCGATTATCTCAGAAAAGATTAGATTAATTTGGTTACCAACTAAATAAGGCTGATACATAATTAGATGAACACAATTAGCTGATAAATATGATTGATTAGTTTTGTTATATTGATTAGATTATTGTTTTTCAGTTTAAATTGCCAAGTTACTCAGCAACAGTTAATCTTGATTATCAGAATTATTGTTATTCAATCAGGATAATCATATGAATATAATGTTTAATTTAATCATAATTCTTAGTATTTGTATTAATATTTACCGGAATTGAACAATTGTTTGCCCTTCAATCAATTGAGTTAATTTTTAATTGTCACTGAAAAGTTTTGTCTTTCATGAAGATAAATCAACTAAATTGTCAAGTAGATTGTGTTTTTGATCATTTAAATCAATGAGACACATAAAAGTTAATCTAAATTGCTCAATTTTAAGGAATTATGAATCTTATTCAGTGTTAATTTCTATTAATTATTATTAACACATCTGTTAATCATCATAAAAGCAAATCGGATAATTTGCCAACAATTAACTTGTTTAATGTATGTAAACAAATTGGATAAAATCATCAATCTATTTATGGTTTAATTTTGTATTTTCATTAGCCAAAATTTAGTCTACAATTGGATTGGCTTTTAATTGTTAGTAATTAGTCTTGATAAAAATAAAACATTCTAATAGTTTTACCAACAACGAGGTTTAAACCGATTGACCGATATATTAATAGTTTTTGGATGTTTATCAAAAAAAAATCAATGAAAGAATAGCAATTCAACTTATTAAGAATAATAATTTAATCGATTTTCTCAGTAATTAAACTATTTCTTCATAAACATAAGTATTACCAGAATTCTGGAATTGAACATTCTCCTTTACGTCAGTTTTGATATTCTTTTCGATAGTTTTCTTATATCGTAGTAAAGTCCAAAGTGTCCAGCAAACAATCAACATGAGAAGACAATTAATAAGTAATATGATTAAGCTAATCAAGTTGACAGTCTTCTCATCCAAGTGTGTTAATGATGATTTAAGTTGTAAAGGGTCAATTGAGCATCCGAATTGATTGTGACATTCATTTGATGGACAGTTACACTTTTGGATACAACCAAGTCCATAAAATCCCGATGGGCACGATAGTTCACAATGAGGTCCATTAAAACCAGGGTGACACTCACACAGACCAGTGAAAACATGACAATTACCACCATTGTAACAGAAACATTGTTTGGTCAATGATTGACCAGCGTCATTTTGCATGTTAATTGTGTCGCGAAAAAAACAACAATTAAAAGTGACAGAAAGTGATTGAATATCAACTGAAAAGACACAAAACTTTTACTTTTACCTTTATATTTAACTGGATTTATGGATTTAGTCTGATTAATAACATTTATCAGGTAATTTAATCAACTTTTCAAAAAGTTTTAGAATCAACCAATTGTCTCATTTGATGATTCTGTTTCCATCGTCCCAATCTAAATTGTCCCGGAGGAAAAATTTCTGCTCCAAGATTGAAGTGTTACATTGGTGGAGAATTGGTTGATTAGAGTTGATTGGTAAATGGATACAGCGATTAGTCAATTTGTGATTGATTGATTGTGATTTTTTTGAATAAATCCAAATTTGAGAATCACTATAATCAATAGAATTACAAACAGTGAAGGTTAATTGCTCGTAATCAACATTACCAGTAAGACACCAATTATCATTTCTAATTGTTCCAATATCAGTGTGAATAAAGATCTGACGAAAATAAGTCAAATCATTTCCATGGTTTAATCGACATGGCTTAAGATTAACAAATCTTGATTGTTGATCAGATGAGAATGAATAATGAAAACATAACATTGTTGGTGTATGTTCAATTTGACCAATTGACCGATAAGCAAATGGAAATGGTGTCGATGGATAAACAGTCTCAAAGTACCAGGTTATATTTTTACATTCTAATTTAGTTTGGTGAGATTTTCGATTGTACAAATTACCACGATCGACACTTGCAACCAATGGAAATAGAAGATAGAAAAACATTCGATACTTTTTTAACCAAATTTCAACAATTCGACCAGAATTATGAAGATAAATTGTTTCCTTTTTCATTGGAAACGTAACTGAACTCGGTGAATGAACATGACCTAATCTGGAACATGGTACAATCTCAATCTCGCCTCCGCAAGACCAAATCTAATGGAAAATCAATGCAATAGAAAAGCTCACAATTAACTAATTGTCTTTAAAGGTCAATGGAGTTAAATTTTTACCCAAAGACTTAAATCGATTGATTCAAATGAGAAAAATTTCATTTCCGAATCGTGGCCACCAAGTTCAAGGAAAAACGACTTTGAAATCGCAAAAATACCACCATAGGTTGTTGGTGATCTAATTTTATCGAAATTCGTATTAGTTTTCATTCTTGACGACAATCAATTAATAATCTTTACTTAATTACTCTTGTAGGATCAATTTTCCGTTTCTCAATTTCGCTCGCTTTCAAAGGGATCATGAAATTTGTTAAACTCCATGTGAATCCACTCATGTAATTTTCTGGAACTGGATGATAACTGAAATCTTCAGGATTGATCAGATCGACGATCGGTGATACAACTCGTTTACGATTCTGAGCCAATCTATCAAGAAGAGGCTCTAACCATCCAGAATTAACTTCAACATGGGAATCAAGGAAAACGATAATCTGTCCAATTGCAATAGAAGCTCCATAATTACGGCCACTAATTAAACCGATTCGAGATGTTGATCGTACCAATTTAACTTTATTATTCTTGAGTGTACTAATTAAATAACTTTTAAGATGATATTTTATAGAATCTGGATAAGATTAACAAAGGAAATCAAATTAATCCACAATAAAATTTTGATGATTATCTTAATTCTTACTTGTTGTACTTAAATCATCAATCAATAAAATCTCAATCAAATTATCTGGTGATTTGTTGATCAGAGTTTTAATTGTTCGCAATAAGGTTGACCATTGTTCATTATGGAAGACAATTATAACCGAGGCCGTTGGTAATTTAGTTGAGTTATATTGTTTTAATTTGCATCTAATCAAGTAACAGAATATTAGTTCAATTAAAGTTTCTTACTAATTAACTTACTGATGATTACGATGATCACCAGTTGATCTGTACAAAGGTAAATAATCCGATTGAATTAAATTGAATCTGGTGAGATTAATTTTCCCATGAAACGGATTATCTTTAATGATTAACTGTTTAGTTTCAACAATTGAATCAATTTTCTCGTAATAATTAGGTAACCATGAGATTTTAGTGTAACAATAACTGGTAAATATAATTGAAGTGAAAATTGAGATAATTGTGACAGTTAATTGTTTGATATTCATTGTGTATAAAAGACAAACATTTAATAGATTTAAATATAAACAGGATTTTACAATGGTCACAATTAAGAGTTATCACAATTTAAGATTTTTTCATTCTCTTTATAATATATTAATAATAATAATGATAGAAATTAAATTATTAATTAGATCTGATATTTAGTGTTTGTGTGTGTATGTGTTTACATTTAATTGTAGTTTAATTAAATGTTGTAGGCAACAAATTGCAGGATCCAAGGGATAACTTGTTAATTTTGATTGAACAATTGTTTTTGATATCATCGCATCATAGATATCCAAGAGTAGCAATTAGATTTGCTATTAATTTGATAATATGAATTTGGGTTTCAAAAATTGAGTTAATTTAATTTGCTTCTTCTCGAGTCTTAATCAGTTTCCGTTGGAACCAAAATCCAAAAACTTTTCAGCGCTTTTTTTGAAATCAATGAAGGCGACTAGAAACACTTAAATTGATTATCTCCATCGTCGTTATAATCAATTTGATTAATTATGTTCTCATCTTCAATATCATTGTCATCTTCAGCATCATAATTAAACTGTCCAGTAGTAATTAAAGGTTTGCTTGGCCGTTCATCTTTAGAATCAGATAATCTCCAATCTGGTGGATTAAGAAAATCTAATCGGGAAAATGGGAGAAGAACAATGAAAATGATTCCAATTAATCAATTAATTAAACTGGATAGAAATTAATTCATCAATTACCTTTAGGATCATATTTGATCTGAGATAAATAAAGCCCTTCGGGTGGAGCTGTGTAAAAATGGGTTGTCCATTTAGTTTCCTGGGGATTATCGAGTAAACTCTTGAATCTATCGATGGAAAATTGGCCTGATCCAACCATGATAATCGCTCCTACCATCCGACGAATCTATTATTATATAATTAAAGGGAGAAACAAGAACAGAATTAGACAATTAAATTACCAACGCAATTAATTTAAGATTGAGGAAAAGGGGGAAAAATTCATATCCATGCTTATAAATAGTTTCCCTGAATGATGATACATGAACTTGGCTCTGATTCGATGATGAGAGTAACATCATCTTCATCAACAGTAACCATGAATACATGATAATAACAGAGAAAGGAAGCTGAATTGAAATTCAGTTAACTATCAACAATTAAAATTGAATATAACAAAAGATTGAATGAAATTGTGTGTGTGAGAGAGAGACAGAGACAGAGAAAAAAAAACAAAATCAAAGTAATAATTGAACGTGAAAGTGATCCCAACGAAAGTGACATTCATTCAATGTCAATTTAAGACACAGAGACATGATGATAAAGATTCATTCATTCAAATTTGTAACCTAATTACAATTACAACGTCATCCAAATTGATAATCATCAAAATCAACTCAATGAAAAGTTTTCTGGCAAAAGATGAGGAACTTTACTTTCCATATCTCTCTCATTTTTACCGTTATAACCCAATGGCAAATTTCATCATTATCCTAAAAATCAATCGAGAAAAAAACCTCGGAAGTTATCAAGTCATGTTCCGGGTAAACAAACAGTTCACATCTAACTGATTATTAAAAATAATTAAGATCATCAGCTAATCAGTCAAACTGTTTTTAATCACTGCCAACAAAATACAATCAAGAAAGACAATTTCTAATTGTCAAGAAGTTAAAACAAACCAATTTTTGATTAGAATCGGTTACTTTTTCAGCTCATCATAGAAACTATAAACAAATTGAATAATAATTTGTAATGAGAACTCATTAAAAGTTAATTGTTAAGCGACAATTTAGCTTTCGTTCACAACAATCTAAAAAACTATTTACTTTCGCCTTGTTGTTTGTCTCTAAGTTAACCGTTGATCGTGAAAGGTTAAATTAGTCCAATTGAGTGAATTAACTTTAAATTATTACAAATGATTGTTAGGTTTACTATTGATTAATCAACCTTGGGTAGACTTGTTTAATTTTTTTCTTGGTAATTAGTTGATTATTTTCTGTCAATCATAATACAACCTGACAGGTTTTGATGAGTGAACATCAAACATGCGCTGGACAATGGAAAGCATGTAGATCAATGTGGTTTTTTAATTGTTAAAGTGAACATCAAATCTATTTCCTATTAAGTGTTAATTACCTTTTAAGTAGTGAACATCATACTTATTGTGTGTTTTTTAAACAAAGTGTTAATTAGTTAACTGAAAGTCACAAAGGTAAAAGGTAAGTAAAAAATTAAGAATTGATTTAATTCTGAAAAGCAACAATTACTATTATTATTAATATTAATAATAGGAAAATGAATTCAAATCAGTAAATTAAAACAAAAAATATTAACCAAATAAAACTAAGTAAATTATGAACATCATGTAATCAACACATCGAGTTAAATTTAAATTGTGAATTATGGTGAACTCAACAAAGGCCATAAAAGGACGAACCATCAAGGAAAAGTCAATTCTATCTAATGGCAAAGATCTCAAATCAATTAAATACCAAGTCAAATGGCGACGCAATTAAGGAAAACAAATCAAATCAATCAAAATGGTGGAATCATCATCAAAAATCAAACTATTAACAATAATATTTGATAAAATTATAACATTGTATAATCAAATCAAAGAAAATAATATTAATTCAATTGATTATAATTCAAACTTCAAATTCAGAAGGCGACTCCGAGAGATAATCATGACAAGATTATCTAGAAGTTTTCACCTTCTAAACTGTTGTAATTATATTTCAGTTTTAATTAAAGACGACGTTTACAATGATTATCAGAACAATTGAAATTGGAAAAACAAATCAACAAATCATCAATGATTAAGAAACAATCATTATTAGCATAAATCATATCTGAATTATCAGACTAATAATTAATTTAATCAATCCAATGAACAATCAATGATGGAACTCACAGTATTTTGATCAACAATTAAGGTGATTCATTAAAGTGCAAAGTCAATAACAATCAAATGCAATACAAATTAATTGTTTAAAAAAAAAAAAGTTCAAGTTGATTACAATTAGAATCATCATTTTAATTGACAATCAATTTAAACAATTAGAACAATCAACAAAACTATTTGGTCAAGTCACACAAATGTAAACTTTGATTGTTTGATTGTTTGATTAACAGTAATTAATTTCTGGCTTAATCCAAGCAAATCGAAACAACAATTAACATTTGCTCAATACACGTGACCACAATCAACTTAATCAAATTAACAACAATTAACAGATTAATTGTTGGTTATATCAGTTATTATATAATAATAAATACAGTAGTTAAAGTTTAAATTGTGATAACCATGATGATGATTAACAATTAACGTGATGAAAATGAAAAAGTTTTCATTTTTTCATCAATTGACAATTAACAATTAATTTCTTCAGACTAATCATTAAATTAATCTAACCAGACCATTAGTTAATTGTCTTCAGTTCTTAATAAAATTATTATTATAGTAATTAATTTCTTAGACTAGTAGTTAATCAAGCAAGTTAGCTAATTACAATATAAATTCAACATTGAATAGTTAAACGATAATTATGATTGTAATTAAGTTGAGAGAAATTAATGAAAACTTAATTACCAGAATTGTGATAATTTGTACGTGAAAATTGAATAACAAATAACATTGTAACAAATTTCCAATTACAGACAATTAATGTTAAATCAAGATTGATAATCAATCAACAGTTAACTAAAACGGAAACGGAATCTAAATGGTTAACATATTGATATCGGAATCTAAATTATGATTAAACAATTTCCTAATTTAGTAAATGCTATACATGCTCATCGATAATCATTCAATTGATTAATGAGGATAATTATCCACTGTGATTATGATTAACAACAATTAAGAGACAGTTTGAGTTAAACTATTAATATTTAAGTAACTGAGTCTTTTTTCAGCCCAAAATTTTTGGCAACCCAATATAATTTAATTAATCAAGTTGATTGTGATTTAACAGCCATGACAAGAGGATTCCTTATGAAATTCAAGTAAAACTCCTTGAGGGTAACAATCAACTTTAACCAATGACAGTTAACATTGTAACAATCATTAATTTAATTAACAACAAACCAGAATAACAAAGTTTTTGTATATATAAACTTGATAGGGAACCAAATTAAGTTAATTTAATTAACTAATCAACATGATAAGGAAAAAAAAACAACTTTCACTTCATGATTGAATAGTTAATAATAATTAAAAAGCAAAATATTGCATTAATTTAAAAATAAATCATCTGTGACAATTGACAATTTAAATGCTAATCACAATTAGATTACCTCATTTTCAATTAGATTGAATTTGAGATGGAAACATTTCTAATTACTATCGTCAATCAAAATCAATATTGATCAATCATATTTTGCCAAATAGTAATTCAAGGATTTAGTTGATTGTTTGAAATTCAATCAATCACAAAGTTTGATGGTAAAGGTCAGAAATCAACGTTTTTTTTATCTCGTCATCAATGATAACAATTAAATCAATTTCAAGATGATGATGATGATGGGAAAAGATAACAGGTAATAAAACACTTTCACTCTTACCTGAGTTTCAATGAAATTCAATTGGAATCAATGAAAAGATCATGATAACAATTAAATGTATGAAATTTTCTCGTTCAAACGGAAACTGAGAATGTTCAACAAAATGAGAATGATTAATTTACTAATTGCAAATCATCCTGATAATCATCATAACAATCAATCATAATCAAATCACATAATATGATAAACAAAATGTTACAATTACTGTTAAGTAACTGATTAGTTTAGATGATAAATTGATTGTTGGAGAGAAATGCAAAAAAAAAGTCTCAGAATTGTAACAAAGTTATGAATATGATTAATTTAATTGGTGTAAAATGAAATCAAGGATTTTCACCTCGGAATTAATTCCTGGGAGGATTTCATTAGTTAAATTGAAACAAAACGAAAAATATAAAAGCCCAATAACCTTAAGGGAAAATGGATAACAAGCTTTTCAAATCAATCTTTTTCAATCTTCATAAGTCACATGAAGGGTGAAAGTTTGTAATGATAGAGAAACTTGTAACCTTGTTTGTATTTTATCATCATTATCATCATCTCTTATCATCTTCATCAGAATTTCCTTCATCATCATTCAATTCTACTCAACTTTATTCTTCTGCCACCGAATTCCAGTGTATAAATGATGATGATGATGAAGATGGAAGAATGTTCAGACTCTGTCTAGAGAGTAATCGAAAGGAAGTACCAGAGAGAGAGAGAGAGAGAGAGAGAGAGAGAGAGATCTAGTAGAGAAGATGATGAGAGGAAGATGAGTAGGTTGAGGTGTTTTATTTTCATTCTCCATCTTCATCTCTTATCCACAGCTCTCAAAAAATTGGCTTATTATGCTGAGATTTTATTGGAAAAAAAGATGTTGAGTTTGGGATTTGGATGGAGACATGAGGAAAAAGATGATGATGATGAATCAAGAAAATAGATTTCAAATTGATGGTTTAAGATGAAGGTGATAGGAAAAAACGTCTTCAATCATGATTAGTGTGACAATTTATATGAGAAGATAGTAAAGTGATGATATTATCATCGTTTCTTTAAAATATGATAACAGGATGCAAAAAGTTCATCAATGAATCAATTTAAATAAATTAACCCATCATAATCAGTGAAATAATTAAAATTGCCATTTATCATCAATGAAAGGGGAAAAATTGATTTTTTTTCTTCAAAATATCAATTGATCACATTGATTGTTGTCCAGACTTTTACATGATTATTTACTTCGTATCATGATGATACACTAGTTTAATTACTACAGAGGTAATTTCACTTAGAGAAACTTTTATTTAGGGTAACATGTTCCCATTTAGTGAGAGAAAATTAATTTCAAACCAAGAG